TTGTCATTATTTCACACAGAAAGATGAAGACATCATTTCATTAGAAGATGACCCTGATCTTGCCAACATCCTTGAGAACCAAGCACTGTCTTCTTCTCTTGACTTGGATCTTGGGTGAGTTCTCAGTGAATGTGCAGGGTAAAAAGTTTTTAAGTAAATACTGCTCTTGTGCCTTGTCCAAACAACAACAACAACAACAACCACAACCATAGCAGGAAAAACTACCACAAAAAAAAAAAAAAACCAGCAGTTGAATGTTAGAATATTAAGTTCTTGGTCATTACATGTGGACCTTATGGTGCTTGCTTTGTATATTATGATTCCAAGCTAAATGATTTTCTTTCCAGTTTTCCTTAACACAGTTGGTTGTTCATAGTATATGAACCCTGTAGTTGCATACTGTAGTTTCAGTTTTAATGTTCTTTCTTTTGCCTTTGCCTCTTTTATAGTTCAGGAAATAAAGTAAAGAAAACTAAACATGGCTCTGTTTTGCGACATGTTGTGTTGAAAAGTGTTTCCAGTCAGATGGTTTCTGCATCAGTAAGTGCTATTATATAAATTTTGTAATATTTAATTAGTATTAATTATTAGCATGATAATAATTTCCTTGCTCTGATACAAATTTAATGATTGAGAAAGATGGTTTTATCATCTTGTCACTAACTTGGGACAAAGAAAAAATTCTGAGTCCTCATGAGGAATCGAACCTCAGACCTTCAGATTTCATGCTCTGATGCTCTACCACTGAGGCACAGAGACTCTATGGTGAGCAAGGCTATAAAATTTTTCCTTTGTCCTTTCACTTGTGACAAGATGAAAAAAATGTCTTTCTCTATTTCCTTACTGAACTCAAAACTAAGCATCTTTCTTATTCTATTTACAAACATGATGCTATCGACATTGCTGATCCTAGCATTATGCAGGATGCATGTTATATATGAACTCTGTAATGGGCCTCGCTCATGATAGAGTCTCTGTGGCTCAGTGGTAGAGCATCAGAATGTAAAAGCTGAAGGTCTGAAGTTCGATTCTTCATGGGGACTCAGAATTTTTTCCTTGTCCCATGCTTGTGACAAGACAAAAAAATAAACATCTTTCTCTTTTAATTTTTCTTTACTGAGCTAATTTTCGTTACCATCTTTCTTGTTATATTTACAAGTAATTTTTAATCATATTTCAAAATTTTGATAATGAAAAAATTTTCACTCAAATTTCACTTTTCAATTAGGTCTATTTTGTACCATTAGTTGATACTTGTAGGCTGTGAACAATATGAAAAGTAAAGTACAGACAAACCTGTATTAAGTGGCATGGTATTAGCTGGTCTCTTTGTACTAACCTTTCAACTCCTAAGATCTCATTAGTAATTCTCCCTACTGTCTGCCATAAAATACTTATGATTTTAATTGGAGAATTTGGTATTGGATCAACTCTTAGTCCCCTAATTGAGTTTTTTTCTTGATTCTCCTCAATTGTCTGCTTGATTCTTTGTTGATATAGCAAGGAGAAATTCTGTCTTGGTCACTCATAGGAGTTAAAGGGTTAAGTGGTTGGTTGTCAAAGTCCTGAATTGTTTCCCCTTAAATGCTGTAGTTTTCACCTCTATTGAGGGGTTGTGGTCACCTCAGAGTGAGTCTTAATGGCCTGTTTGTCCTCCTCCCATACTGAACAAGTTTAAATTTTAAATTTTATATCAAGGAAATTTCCCTGTTTGAACCTACCATTAGATTGATATTTAGAAACAAAGGATTGTTTTTTCCTTTTTGTTGACAGGCCAGAGTGGATGCTGGTTTGCCAACAGCCATGGTAAATAAATGTATTTTTAATGTTATAATGGTCCAGCTATTTAGTCTATTGTGATAAGGATTAAAAGACCACTTGAGTCTGATAGAAAATGGGAAAGATTGAAAATACATCTATTAGCATATATTCAGAATGGACTGTGCATGAATCGAGGAAGTTGTTGCTGTTCTGGTGAGTGCTTTCGAGTGTCTCAAAGCTTGATTCATGATTCTTAAATATTGATTCTCGATTCTACAAAATCAAAACTGGAAAGAAGATCTTCAAAATATGACCTGACAGCTTATGTTTTAGCTGTACTGTAATTCTGACTCACAGTGCTTTGGTTTGCATAAGAGTACGATGAGTACCGATAAAATGTCTATGAAACTTGTTGATTAATGCTAGGTAGTTACCTGTTACAGACTACCAATGCAACAGAAGTTCATGTCACACTGACTGGCCATGAACCTTTGAAGATTAATGTTTGACCTGTTTAATTAATAATTGTCATTTCTTATAGGCTGTTTCTTCTCTTATTTGTATTGGAACATCTCACGGAGTGGTGCTGGTTTTTGGTAAAGAAAATCATAGTTGTTTTGATCATCACATATAAGTATAAGTCAGAGAAGATGATGAACATACACAGTACAATCATAAGTCTGTTGAGTGTCTTTATGTACAATGTATATGAGAGTAACTGGTGGAACTCTCTTGTACTCTAAGTCTTCACAGGACAATTCAAAGAATGCTTGCCATAGGAGTTTAAAATCTTGTGCAGAAATGATCACTGCAAGGGTTCATTTGAATAGTCCAGTTTTTTATAGATTCAGGATGTGATTATTGATTAAGCCTTAAGTTCATTTTTTTTTTGTCTTAGATCCTCAACAAACACTTAAGCTGGTTCTGGGGAACACATCCCTTGGTAAGAAATTAATTCATTTTTGTCAATTTCCAAGGTTTTATTTATTTCAATAAAAATTGTTGAATCATTTGGAAAAATAGTACATGACTTGATTGAGATAAATGATCTTTAGGGCATTGCTTAGTATTTTTGTTGATTAATTCAGAAGAGTATTTCCCTTAAATTTATTTTTTTTGAGTGAAATTGCATGTTCATATATGTCAGAGATATTACACACTTGTACAATCTGTTAATGAAACACTGATTATAATGACAAGATTAACATAAACTACATATCCTGAATTTTTTTTTTTAAACTAATAATGTTACAGGTGCAGAGTATGGGGCTGTTACTGCACTCGGCATCAATATGGAATGTACAAGACTTCTATGTGGACATGCAAGAGGCCAGGTAACATGAAGTTGCAAACACAGATGTTATGCAGTGTGCTGTTAGAAGCAATGGATTATGCATTCTATCAGTTTACCATATAATTGTTAATTATTCACTTAAGTGGAGCTGACTATTGGGGGATGTGTACCTTGCCGCTTTGTGGCTTGGTAAATATCCACCACTTTCACAGACATTGATGTGAGTAAGTGTTTTAGAATATACCACACAGAAAACAAAAAAAATTAGTTTATTTTCATTAACACACCAAAAATTGTTTGAAATTAAATTGTCAATGTGCAATTTGTCTCTATGCATAGTACTTGCTAATCACTTCCAATTCAGCCAATCAGGGCATGTGCTGAAAGCTATCAAACAAGACATCTACTATTTTATCGTAGTTATGTACTGTATTTAATCAGTTTTATGATAAAGTTACCTATTTGATTATTTTTTTCAGATAACTATGTGGGATTTGCAGTCTGGGAAATTGTTGAGACAAATTGCTGATGCCCATCCCATGGGTAGTGCAGTGCTGCATGTTATGGTAAGAAAAAAGAATTTTTTGAACCATTTTGAAAGCATTTTGTTTTCTTAAAATGTGGTGTGCTATTTAGCCAAAAAAATTGCTTCTAGAGAGGGGTTTTATACAATTATAAACATGTCTTGCAGGAGGGTGAGAAAAGAAAAGGAGCAATGAAAAAAAAAAAATTAAAAAATAAAAAATAAAAAATAAAAAAAAAACCAAAGAAATATTTGCTTGATTTTTCACTTTTTTCCGAGGGAAGTTTACGATCTAATCTCGTCTTCGCGTACTCGACTCAGTCCTCCTGGGTCACGTTCAATCATAAGGGAACATCTGTCAAACCCTTATCAGCTATAGAGCACCTATTATTCTATTTTAAGACGTGGCTGTTAATTTTCTGTTGTTATTCATTGTGTAACTCATTCACAGTTCACAGATGACCCAACAGTTGCAATTTGCAGTGACAGTGGCGGTTCTGTGTTTGTTCTCAGCTTCAAGTAAGAATTTTTTTTATAGGAAA